AAAGTGATCAAGACCTGATGACACACTGTCATTTTGTTCTGGATCCATTTGTTTGTTTCACGTCTAATTTTACCAGTAAACGACGCCGGAAATGTTGACACGCAATCTGGGTTCTTTCAGCTTCTTCTTTGCACATTTGCACATCTAAATCACAGGTCAGGAACAAACAGTTGAATGTAGGACAGAGAAAACGGCTCAAATTCCTTTGGAAAAAAAGGAATCCTATCCCTTAAACTCAGCATTTTGCAGAAACATCTTTATTTGAAATGTACGCATCAAGACACTGAAATTTTACTAATGCTTTTTATCAAATTAGATGGGAAGTGTTTGAATTTAAATTTTCTTTCCATAAAATGCCGTTGGGACTTTGACTAGGCCAAGTATCTGAGCTGTTTTCATCAGCTCAGCCAATCATTCCTATCCAGAGAGTAGAAAAGCAGAATCTTTTTATTTCACATCACAGTCCAGAATGGGAATAAAAGCTTTCAAATAATAGCAAAACAGCATTAAAATGTGTCAAACATTAAGGGTTTGATTCATACAAATTGTTGGGAGAATGGATTTCAGAGAAATTTTACTGCCAACTGACATAAAATGAACACAGAGCTCCAATCCAGTAGATATCTAATGGCATCATTTCATCTTTTGTCAGTTAAGCTGAAATGAAAATCCACTGATTTAGAAGAAGAGGGCTGCTCAGTAGGGCAGTGGGTAGCACTGCTGCCTTGCAATAGGAAGGTTTCGAGTTCAATTCCTGGCTCAGAGTTTGCATGTTCTTCCTGAGTTTGCATGGTATCTCTCCCATTACTCTGGCTTTCAGTGAATCAGTCTAAAAACATGACCGTTAGGTTAATTGGCTTCTCTAAATTCTCCTTAGGTGTGTGTGCGTGAATGTTTGTTTTTCCTGTTTGTCTCTGTGTTGCCCTGCAATGGACTGGCAACCTGTCCAGGGTGTACCCTGTCTCTCGCCCATAGACAGCAGGAGATAGGCACCAGCACCCCTCACTACCCCAGCTGGGATAAAGCATGACAGAAATGGATGATTTAGAAGAATGTTGAAATTAATCTGTAAATCTTAGAGAACCTTGAATAAAGGTTTCTGCTCTCACTGTATCCTCCGAGATTTAAGAAGTGGATGTCTAACAACTGGTGGATTGACTCGATCCTTCTCTGTATTCGCCGTGGTTGGCTGGGTTTAAATGTTTTAGCAACAAAATTATAGAACCCAATATAAAAAAAAAATAAAAAAAAACAGAAATATGAGCAGCTCGGGAGTATAAACTAGGAAATGTCTGAAACAGATTGCTTAGGATATTCAACCAATGACATTTTACATTCTTTCACTGAAAATCTCAAACCTTAGTTCAGTGGTTATCCACACAGTCCTATCCTACATCCCACTTGTGTAGGATTTGTTTTTAGTTCTTGTAGTGGAATGGCAGGACAGAGACAAGTTCCAGCTGTGGAAACACCTACAGCGTTTGCAAGATGGCGAAAAAGTTCTATCTTGGATTATTCCGTCTACAGCACCTCATTCCACCTCGCCTTTCATTTCTTTTGCCAATCTCCAAAGTGGACGTCTATTAGTCTTGTCGTTCAGACAGATTTGCTACCCAGGTTTTCCACGTGCCACCCTAACCCTTTTCATGGATAGGAGCGCTCTTTTTCATTTTTTGTTGGGTTTTTTTCCCCCCAAACTAATCCTGCTTTAAACTACTCTAAATCACATTCTCTCTGAGCTGCTTATCATTTCCTTTGGTCTTTATGATACTGATACTTCACTAGCATCCCCTAAACAACCTCTTAGCCCTTCATGGTCTATTTATACTGATGTTAAAAGTTATACACACGGACGAAATCACTAGTCCTGATTTAGTGGTTTTTTTGGCAAGTTTTAAACACGTTTTATTTAGTTGCCAGTGTAAATTATATTAAAAAACAAATTTATACTATGGAAAAAAAAAAGGAAACCATGTATTATTATCCTTCAACTTTATACTCATTCATTATTACCTCATAAGAATCACTGA